TTGTAATTTTAAGTGACTTACTCCCCTGCTCAAGTAACAATATTTCTATGTTTCTTCTTATAATTGGCAGCATTTCTTTCTCTCCTCCACATTGGCACCATCTTGTGTATTCTTTCTTTTCAGCCTAATTACTCACATCCTTGGGGGCACATACTAGCTCTTGCTGAATATGTGTTATGACTCGCAATGAGTATGGAATCAGACAGAATTGAATCTCAAAATTATTTACAGTAACAACACATTATGGAAGAAAACATGACTAGTGACATGGATAATTGAAGGGATGGAGCTGGTGTAACATGAGGAACTTACTGCCTCTGCACAATGTGAATTATATTACACATTTCACTTAAAATTCAACTGCTATCTTATAAGCAAGATTAAGTTCACTGTTTTTCTTCTGTATAGAAAGATTTATATTAGTTAATATTTGTAAGCTAAGAGACAAGAGATGCTCAGTTTTTTCCAGTTGGCAAAAGCAATATGAACAGCATTCACACTGAAAACATATGGTAGTTGACCTCAATTTTTAGATAAGCCCACCAGATAGAGCTCACTCTTAATCTATGTGTGGGTGTTGTGTGCGTGTGAGTTGAATTACACCATACTTAAAAGATTATATTCACTATAAATGCTGAGGTTGTCTTTCAGATGCCATTTGATAAGCTTATCTTTTTACTGAATGGTTGGACACATAGCAAAGTTATATCAATGTATTGTGAAGACACATCCCTTTGAGGCACTTTTTTTTTTTTTATGGTCAGCACTCACTATTACAGACACCTCCTATCCCTCCCCCTTAAATTGTATTTCATTGTGTAGTTATTCTTTATTGTTTATTTCTCTCAACACAATGTCAGCTACATGACAGCACAGAGCATATTCTTTTTGTAAGCCTCAGTTTATCTACCAAAAGTACTAAATGCATATTTGCTAATATACAAACCACCCTAGCATAATATGAATAAGAATAGTGTATATATATACACATATGTATATATACACATATATGTGTGTGTGTATATATATACATATGTCTTACAATCTGAATGTTTGTTTCCCCCCAAACACTCATAGGTTGAAATCCTGCCACCTAAAGATGATGGTATTAAAGGTGGGGCCTTTGGTAGGTGCTTGTATTTTGAGAGTGGAGCCTTCATAAATGAGATTAGTGCTCTTAGAAAAGAGACCCCACAGAGCTCCCTAGCCACTTCCACCATGTAAGGAAATATCATGAAGGTGCAAGCTATGAACAGCAAGAGGGCTTTCAACAGAACTTGACCATGCTGGCACCCTAATCTCGGACTTCCCAGCCGGCAGAATGGTGATAATAAATTTCTGTTGTTTGTAAGCTACCCAGTCTGTGGCATTTTGTTATAGCAATTTGAACAGACTAAGAGAGGGAGACATTGTGTTAAATGTTTAACCTATATGTGTAACTGATAAATTGTAAAAGAAAATGCATGGGATATAGTAAAAATGCAATTTTAATTTCTGTCTCCCACTGCTCTTTAAGTTTTATTTTATGGGAATACTCTTCCAGTGACCCTGAAACACAACATAGCATCTACTCTCTCCTAAGAAATCTCTTACAAAATCATTCTTCCCGTTTGCACCCCACTGAGGACTAGAGGATATAAAAATGATTTTTAATGTTTTCTTTGTATATTATATATATGAGTGATTATCTCATGCTCATTGTGACATTAGATATCTATTGTATAGGAACCACAGGCAAAATCAATAGAGAAAGAATGCTTTAGCATCCACTTTATATGCATCATCTCATTCAAACCACTCACAGTTTTATGAGACTTATGGAGGTTAAGTGGCTTCTGTATGGTCAAAGATGCTGTCATCTTAGGTAATGGTGGGCTTTGGTAATAAAGTCATTAATAGATATTACAGATTGATTAAAACAAAGTATGCCCTTTTTAGCTAATGTTTCATTTTGTAAATGTTGATTTGAAATTGGTCAAAATGTTAGGACAGCTACTTTGAAGTAAATTCAAGCCATTTATTAAGGAGACTAATTATAAGTTAAGAGAAAACAGGCCATCTGTATCAGATAATGGTACATATGATGCCCTGGAGTTCCCAGATGAAGAGATTTAACCCCAAGTTCAGAGGTGTATATATCCCTAGTGGTCACCCAAGTTCCCAGAAAAGTAATTCCCAAGGAGGGGAGACAATGTACAGAGGCAGTAAGTTCCTTATGTTACACCAGCTCCATCCCTTCAATTATCCATGTCACTAGTCATGTTTTCTTCCATAATATGTTGTTCTGTAAATAATTTTGAGATTCAATTCTGTCTGATTCCATACTCATTGTGAGTCNTACTCTCTCCTAAGAAATCTCTTACAAAATCATTCTTCCCGTTTGCACCCCACTGAGGACTAGAGGATATAAAAATGATTTTTAATGTTTTCTTTGTATATTATATATATGAGTGATTATCTCATGCTCATTGTGACATTAGATATCTATTGTATAGGAACCACAGGCAAAATCAATAGAGAAAGAATGCTTTAGCATCCACTTTATATGCATCATCTCATTCAAACCACTCACAGTTTTATGAGACTTATGGAGGTTAAGTGGCTTCTGTATGGTCAAAGATGCTGTCATCTTAGGTAATGGTGGGCTTTGGTAATAAAGTCATTAATAGATATTACAGATTGATTAAAACAAAGTATGCCCTTTTTAGCTAATGTTTCATTTTGTAAATGTTGATTTGAAATTGGTCAAAATGTTAGGACAGCTACTTTGAAGTAAATTCAAGCCATTTATTAAGGAGACTAATTATAAGTTAAGAGAAAACAGGCCATCTGTATCAGATAATGGTACATATGATGCCCTGGAGTTCCCAGATGAAGAGATTTAACCCCAAGTTCAGAGGTGTATATATCCCTAGTGGTCACCCAAGTTCCCAGAAAAGTAATTCCCAAGGAGGGGAGACAATGTACAGAGGCAGTAAGTTCCTTATGTTACACCAGCTCCATCCCTTCAATTATCCATGTCACTAGTCATGTTTTCTTCCATAATATGTTGTTCTGTAAATAATTTTGAGATTCAATTCTGTCTGATTCCATACTCATTGTGAGTCATAACACATATTCAGTAAGAGCTGGTACTACAGTCCTTTCTTTAAGGAATGGGAAAAAATATCTACATATATCTAGATATATCTATCTAGATATGTATGTCAAGAGTTTTCTGCACACCAATTGAGCACATCCATTACTTAACACTTACTTTATTACTTCAGAGGGGGAAAATATGTGTTTAGAAGAATATTTAGGCACAAAACGCAGCAAGAGTCTACTCAGCATCTGACTTTTAAAAAGCCCACAGAGCCCAGCCAGCCTGGGTCAGCAGTTGAACATAAACCTATGATCCAGGAGATCACAGTTCGATTCCCAGTCAGGGCACATGCCTGGGTTTCGGGCTCGATCCCCAGTAGGGGGCATGCAGGAGGCAGCTGATCAATGATTCTCTCATCATTGATGTTTCTATCTCTCTCCCTCTCCCTTTCCCTGAAATCAACAAAGACATATTATTTAAAAAATAATAAATAAATAAATAAATAAAGCCCATAGACAATATGCATAAACAGAGGCATACTGACTTACCATTCAAATATAAGTTATCAGAAGGATGACATTTTTATCAATATAGCATAGACATTTTCCTATTTCAAACTGAGTTAGAAACTCCATCATCTGTAATATCTGTTAATGCCTTTAATACCAAACCCCACCATTGTCTAATTAAGACTATCTTTGAACCAACCATTATAATCTCCAGCACCCTGTGACCCTGCACAAGTTACCTAACCTCCATGTTATTTAATTATATCTATGTATGTTTTTATATATACATATACATATACATATATATACATATGATAAATATACATATGTATGTGTGTGTATACATATGTGGGGGAGAGAGAGAAACATTAGTGTGTAGTTTAGAGATAGAGAAGATCAGGAAGCAAAGTGATATTGGTATAAAATTTATAATACTTAGTACATAATTTAACAACCATAAAGCAAGTCAAAACTATGTTAATAGTCATCCCAAAATATAAGTTAATTAACAAACATACAAGGACCCCAGCAGTACAATGAGAACAATGACGCCTGACCATCAAACTTAGGACTATGGCCAGTTTAAATCTGAGTGAACATTCAAAACAAATACATTTTTGTTTTTTTAATTTATTTTTATTTTTTCCATCACTATGTATCCTCTCTATGTCCTCTTCCGCCTCCACCCGCCCCCCTCCCCGACCTGCCTAAATTGAAGTATTTTCTAAACCAGTGTTATTTAAAGGAACTTTCTCTGAGGATCGCTCTTGAGTACTTGCAATGTGACTAGTGCAAGTGGGGAACAATTTCTTTTTTAAGTTTACGTAATTTTACTTAATTTAAATGTAAATAGCTACATGCAGCTATGGTATTGTAGAGGGAAGGTTTACACAGACAAAAAGGCAGCCTATCACTAAATGTTCCAAAATCTTTTGCAATGTAATAGGTAAAATGAACTCTGTATTCCAGTTACCGTAAATCCAAAGCACAATACATAACATCTTTATGATATAATCTTTGTGAAGAAATTTGTTTACAAATTGTGAGAAAGGCACTTGAAACTTGAAAATTGCTACCTCTGTGAGTGGAGTATTACACCACTGAAGTTTTTTTTAAAAGGTACACTTCCCTTTATCAGGCATAGTTTTGGTTTTCTAGAAAAGGAGCTATTTTTTCCCAGACAAATAAATCCGCCCCAAATTAATAACTTAAAAACATAAGACATTACTGAATTTTCCAGAACAATAGCACCAAAATCATTAAGAGCTCTTGTAACCCCAATATGGAACTTGCGGCTGTTTTAAAATCCCAGCAAAACCAAACAACAACAAAACACCAGAAAAGAAAACCTATTCGCTGCAATAGAAGCTGTGAGCTTTCCAAGCCATACTTTTTTCCTTTCCACTTTAATCGAGATATTTTCCTCCACCTTTACTGAGATACGACTGACATGTAGCTCTGGCTAAGTTTAAGGTACACCACACCACGGTAGACTGAGAAATGATTGCTACCACCACGTTGGTTAACATCCATCTCATCTAATTACAAAAAAAAAAAAAAGTTTTCCCTTGGGATGTGAACTTTTAGGATATACTCTTAGCAACTCTCCAACATACCGTCCAGCAGTGATAACTGTAGTCACCACACTGCAGGACAAGCCCCCCG